TCAAACCACATGCCTTTGTGATTAAAGCACAACTTCTCATCTCTTGAACACCAGAGATGAAGGAATCTCCTCTCAATTTCCAGGGAGCAGGGACACCCCCTCCTTACTTCAAGGAATGGGGAGACTGCCTCCTTAGTTCTAATGGATGGGCCCACTCTCTTCTCCATTTCAAGAAGCTGGGCCTCCTCTGTTCCAGAGACTGTGCTACTACCTGTTTGGTTCAAGGGCCAGGGGGTGGAGCTGCATAAGCACTCAAGGGTCCGTTTGGTTCTAGAGGGTGTGGCCACTGAAGCACTCAGCTGAACCTACTCATGCTCAGTGGGCTAGAAGACGTGGTGATCTGCTCTGTAACGATGATAATGTAGAAAAAAATCCCTATGAAACAGGCTGCTCTGTCTCAAAGGGTGACTGTGAGTCAGAATGGATTACATGGCCCAATAACTACCACTACCATCTCAGGTTCCAGGATATGGGATCCGTCTCCTCATTTAAGGGAGTCAGGAACCCTATGGTCAATGGCAGGACCACCTCTTGGTTCAAGAGGTAGGACTATCTCTTTGGTATCAGAGAGCAGAGCTGCTCCTTCCTCAGTTCCAGGCATCAAGGCCACAGCTTCCCAGACTCAAAGGTCAAAGAGCCAGTCCTCTGTGGTTTTGGATGGATGAGGGGGGGGAAAAATGCTTGTTCCAGTGGGCAGTACTATTGCTTATGCACTATGGGTGAGGCTATCACCTATTTGGCTTAAGGGGTCCAGTTGCCCCCTAGGTTAAAGTGAGGAGACCGCTTTACCAAGGTTCAAGTGGCAGGGCCACCCCCAAAGTTCAAAGGGTGGGGACAATGACTCTTCAGTTCCAAAGGGAAGGCTGCTCCCTGTTTGTCTTCTTGAGATTTGGGGGCGGAACCATTATCACCTCCCCTAAGGGGCGGGCTACAATGGCCTGAGTTCCAATGGGCGGGGCTTGTGTTAAAGCCTTGGATTGGAGAGGGCTGCGCAGGGATGGCAGAGAATTGGCTTTTATGGATTGCCTTCCCCTGAAAGATATGCTGATTATCATATAGTCCCTGTACCTGCAAGTATGACCTTGTTTGGAAAGAGTGTCTTTACAGGTGTAACTAGCTAAGATGATCATACTGCAGTAGGGTCGCCGGGGTTGCAGTTTCTTGTTTCAGGTGTCAGGACAGAGGACAGAGGCTGCTGGTCCAATGGGCTGGGGAAATATGGTCCCCTGGCCACAGTGGAGGGGAGAGGATCATCTTCAAAGCTTAAAATCTAATTAAATTTGTCCTGCTGTGTGTTTCCTGTGCACTTGAGATCCATAACACCTTTTTTACCTTCCGGCAGTATTTCCCTGTTGGACTGGGAATGCCCACCCTATCCTTGGTTTGTGACTATTTTTGAAGCAGATAACTTGCATTTTAGGTTTCCCAGGTTCATAGTTGCAGAGGGATTTATACCAACGTGGACTCACATATACTTGGTTTAGGTGAAATTTTTAATTTAAGAAATACTGTAGTGAGTTAAGCCTTTTGAATTGATTTGCACATGGCAAGGTCATGGATTTTGGGGGAAGAACAGAGGGTTGACTGTTATGATTGTCTCCCAAAAATAGTATGCTGAAGTTACAATCTCTGTGCCTGTGGAACATGACCTTATTTGGCAAGAGGGTCTTCACAGAAGTAACTAGTTGAGATGAAATCATGCTGGAGTAGGGCGTGTAACTCCCAATCCAACAGAACTTTGATAGTTGCCCTCAGGTTGATACATAAAACCACCAGGTGTACAGAATGAAATTGCCCTTTAGGTTTGCAAAAGGATATCACCAGGCCTATCTGCTGAGATACCTCTGGGAGGGTTCAAACTGCCCACTTTTTGTCTTATGGTGTGGTGCTTAACCATTTGTGTTGTCCAGGGACTCCTACTTTAAAAAAACCCTTAAAAGCTCCTTGCTGTTGAACTGGAATTGACTCGTAGCTGACCCTATATTGGGTTTCTAAGGCTGCAAATCACAAGGGGAAAGGCTGCCCATCTTTCTCCCTTGAAGGTACAGGAGGATTCAAACCACCAGAGGTGCAGCATTTAAGTTAGTTGTACAACTTCTGATGTTCCATGCCACCAGAGCTCCTATACAACACTACGGATAGCAGCTGCAAAGAAATGCCCAGGCCTACACCCCATCTCATAATCAATGAATTTCTTAGAAGTCACCCAGTTTGTGGCAAGTATTAGTTGCAAAGGACAGTCCATTGCTTTGATCATGCTTGGCGCAAGGTGCACCAAAGACTAACACCCTAGGCACCCTATAGCTGGTAGATCCATCATGTGGGGTGTGCAGCATACACGCTTCACTGGATCACCTACACCTTCTCAAGATGACATGTGGGTGGGTTAGTCTATGGCTGACAGACAGCATTGGCCACAGAGGTATATTTCACTGGCCTGTTGTGATGATCAAAAAGAATCAACTAGGGAGTTGGAATGCTCAAGCCCTCCACCCTTAGTTGAAGCACATGGGACAAAATGAGTAACTTCTGAAAAATGCAACATCAGCCAGTAGCTAGCTGCAGGGTTCTCTTATTAAGACAAAACAATAAAGGGTGCAGTAGTGGAGGACAAGGACATGGTGTTAAGAAAGTGGACATGGGCGAAAGGGCTACCAGAGAAGAACAATGAGGAAATCCCAAGCAAGAGGGCTGATTATTCCTTTTCTGAAGACCTTCTGACATTCTATCCCTGCCCCACTCTCATCATCTTGGCCATATAAAGTCACTGCATCATTTCTGTTGTTACTGTTATGTGCTATCGAGTCAGAATTCATAGCTGACTCGCCAGTGGGCTTTCAGAGGCTGTAAATTTCAGGAAGGAGGATGCCTATCTTTCTCCCACCAAAGATTCACACCACCTGCCTTTGGGCTGGCAGCACAAACCCCTTACCACTAGGCCACCAGAGTATCACTTTTTTTGTTTTTTTTTTTCTTTTTATCTTATTATTTTGTGTGTGTGTACCGTCAAATCTGGGGTAATCGGGATGGGTGTGTCAGAGGCAGTGCGATTGGCACAGGATAGAGCAGGGTTTGGGGCTGTTGTGCATAAGGTCGCTATGAGTCACAAACGACTCGACGGCACATAACAACAACAACAACAACAACCGTCAAATCAGATCTGACTGGTACAAGAGGAGATTGTTCCTCCTTCTCCAGCAGAGCATCTGGTGGATTTGAACCGTGCACCTCTGGGATTGCAGTACACCTTCTTGCCACTAGGCCACCAGAGCTCACCTAGAGTATCATTCTTAACGGTGTGAAAATTTGGGAAATAGAATTTAGGGCCTAAAGTGTTTGGTGTTTTTTTTCTTGGATTGAAACCAGTCTAATTTCCTTTATAATTAAGAGAAATGCCCCATGCAATTGCACTGAACCAAATACAGCATTAATGTAAGGAAAGGTGACATCTGGGTTTGGGGGGTTGCAGGATCACCTTGGACTCCACTGGGCCGAATGAAAGAAAAGGCAGGAGGCGAGCTATTGCTAGTATGCTGCTTTATTTCTGAAAAGATACACTGAAACCTTAGATGAGGATAGCTAATGACAAAAGGGAGAACTGAGGCATCAGCATCTATAATCACTTCTAAGAGAATGTTAGTATGTATTGTCATTACATGTTTACGTCTGATATCATCTCATTATATTATGTAATAATAATGTAGAATACAGCGAGGAGGTGAGCCTGCATTTCGTGTAAGCAGTAGGTGGGAAGGAATCTCGTTCTGCCTGTGAGGATGGTGACCTCACGCTCTCTCAGAGATCCAGAGAAGATCCTGAGGACAAGTCTTAGGGATCTTAAAAGGAGGAACTTGGTGGCCCTCCTTAACACACGGACAAAGAGCAGACAATTACTATGTTACAAAGGATTCCACTTGCCACCACTTTGAAATGTCATGTCCGTGTTGAGGACATTCTGAAGCCTGCTCAGCTACCCCTCTAGAGTATTAATTCTATGAGATGAATTTCAAAACTGCAGGAACGTCTCAGGGAGCTATAATATTTTCATGCACGTTTCAAAACTCAAACTATGTTGCTATTCATTAAAACAAAGGAAATGTTAATTAAACAAACAAACAAAAAAGGACAGCAGGGTTAGTTTTATTAAGCTTTCCAAAGTATCCACTGTTGCGACATTCATCTGTCACAGGCTCGTTTGCTCTGCTCGGCCTACATTTTTCAAATCACCTGCGTGTTCCAGGCTTGAAGGTAGGAACACAGATAACAGACCGCACAGGGAAATCAAATGTTAGTGATGGGGAAAGAAAGGTCAAGTTTAGACATACTCACAGCTACGTTCAGTTCAAATGTTAGTTGTTTGGAAATCTGTGTTAGTCATTTGAAAGCACAAAGAACAGAAGGCAAGCCAGAGTTGGGATGAGAAAGTTAAACCATGCATTGTGGGAAATTCTTTGTCTGCTCACAGAGCTGGGCGAGCAGCGTGAGTTGAAGCAGCCGCTGCAACTCTTGCATGTTGTGTGACTACACAGTGGGTCCCAGCTGAGCCACAAAAGCCACCTCAGTAGGGAGTTTATCTCTTATGCGTCTGGCTTACATCACTAACTGGCTAAATGGTTAGCACTTTTCTGCTTTCTGATAAGCATGCAGAAGTCAGTCTATCTAGCTTTGCAGTTTTCCACTGCAGATACAGAGAAGTGAAGTTTACTGCAGAGCTGCTTTTTAAAAACTCCCCTCACCCCATTTCCTATTATGATCGCTGTGTGCCCTTTATTTGACTAACACTGTAAAATGGGGTGGGGGGGAAAGACAGAGAAACACTTGGAGAGGATGCAACACCACTCTTAGCCTAGGTAGGTAGGTAGAGGGCAAGAAGAGGACACAGAGAGCAAGGCCCGAATTCCATTTTACAGGTCAAGTGCCCCCGCCAATTTATAGCTTTTTGGCACAGTCAGGGCAATACACTTGCTCCTGATGGAAAACAAAGCGCTTGTTGGCCAGATTCACGGAGCATTTTTTGCAGTGGAAGCAGTAGTCGTGCCAGGATTGTCCTTCATAGGCCACCACACTGGAGCCTTTACCAAACCCTGTTTGAAAACAGAAGGGAAGAAAAGAGACAACCGAGTGAATACAGGTAAGGCAGCTGCAGTGCCAGAGAGACAATGACGACTTGCCCAAGTCGTGGAGCCAACACGCACGTGGAACCAGTGTCACCAGACTCCTAGCATACCCCGCCCCAACCAACGCGCATTCTACCCCACACCACTGTTCCCCTGCTACGGTGCTCAACGTGCAGAACCCCCACCCCAGGCCAGACAGATGCTAGAGCTGGCCAGGGGCTTCCCTGAGTCAAGCTCTCACATTCCCATGCCACCTCTAACACCCAGTGACGCGCACCAACCTCCCAGCATAACCAGTGTCTTTGATTAAGGTCAGGGCCATGGCATCAAAGTGGCCACCAGGAGGCAAACTTGGGTTGTTTGTGGGGTGTGCACTTACCCGGCCTCGAGGAGCTGCTAAGCTTCGATTTTTTCTATAAAGAACAACCACCCACGAGGGACAAGTTCTCTCTCCACCCGGATGCCTGCCCCGGATGTTGGCGCTGGGAAACAGGGTGAGAGGCAAGCGTTTCCCGTGGCACACTGGGGGCTTCCTAGCTTTAGAGACTGGGTGGCTCACTCTTGACACAGTCCTTTTCCCTGAGGATGGCAAAAGTCTTCTCAAATGTACATTTCAAGGCTTCCCGGGGAGATGGGAACATTGGAGGCAAGGGAAGGAGGGCCCAGGGCACTTGGATCGCGGCCGCGAGATGAGCAATGATGTGATTAGCTGTGCTTCTGATTGGAAACCACTGCCAACAGGCAACACTGTGCTACCTTTCATCTACAGGGCTTTAAGCATCCCAGGCTCACTTTCTCCAGCCCACCGCCCCATCCCCATCCCTGTCCCCTCCACGCAGCTTCCACCCCTTCCCCTTCTCCCAGAGTCCTGAAGATGGGTCTCAGGCACATAAACTCCTGGCAGCGTTGGTCACCAGTGTTCAGGAAGTGTTCTGTATTTCAGAGGCTAACCAGGCCTGGGAGAAAATCCAAGCCACTGGGGGACCTTTATTTAGCACCCTAACGGCGGGGGGAAAAGGGGATTCTTTGGGGCCTTTGTGGATGAAACCGACGACATAGGAAAATGAAAGATGTTTACCATACACAAAACCTAACCTGGCAGACTTAGCAAGGACTCTTTAGCCTACCAGTGATTGGGTTCTTGCATCCAGCACACTTCTTGGCCACAAAGTTCTTGTAGCAATCCACGCAGTAATACTGGTCCTCCACAGCAGTGAAACGCTGCCCAGCCAGCTTCTTAGAACAGGTAACACACACAAAGCACTCGGCATGCCAGGGCTGATCCTGGTAAGTGATTCCTCCAGATGTAATTGCCTAGACCAGGGAGGTGTAGCACTAGATTCAGATTCAACAACCCTTCTGTTGAAGGCCTACTAAGTGCCAGGCACTGTGTTGGGATAGACAGTAGCTCACTGAATCACCACGGCAACCATGGGAGGCAGGTGCTATTATTCTCCTCATTTTACAGATGATGCCGCTGTGGCTCAGAGGAGGGGAACTCCTTTCCAAGATTTCCCAGCAACTTTAAGAGGGCTGCCCACAGGACAGTGTGCTGTGATCACAGTACTGCTCAGTCTACCAGTGTGTCCTCATCTGGCAAGTGAGAGGAATAATTCCCTACATCACAGGGCTGCCGTGAGGATGGAGCGGGACAGTATGTGTACAAGCACTCTGCAAATGGTTAGACACATTTCAGCAACAAGAGGAAAGGCAGCAATCCCTCAGCAACGTACCTTGTTGCATTTTACGCAGTGCTTGGCGAATTTGGCCTCATGGCAAGTCACACAGTAGAAGTTCTCCCCTTTGGGGAAGAAGCTTCCGGTCCCA